AAAAAAAAAAAAAAAAAAAAAAAAAAGAAAAAAAAGAAAAAGAAAAGAAAAAAAAAAGGCGAAGGTAGTGGAGCATGGGAGGAATGAAGTTTTTCTTTTGATAGCAACCTACCGAATAGGATTCAAGCCTTTATTTGGAGACTTGTACTAGATGGGTTGTTCTTGCTCTCCCTGTCTCTAGACACCCCACCCCTCCCATCTTATAATGTGCTAGTCATAAGTTGCCTAAAAGGCAGTGTTGTGAAGATTAATGTATGTGGAATTGCTTTGTAAGATGCAGAGTAAAAGGTATTTTGCAAAAGGTATTTTGTAATTTAATCCCTTCAGACAAGACATATATCACAAAGAAAGCATCATTATATTTTAAAAAGTTGAAAATTACAGACAACCTTCTCTGGCCATAGTGCAGTAAAACTAGAAATTAATAACAAAATTGGAAAAAAATGACCTACCTTTCTATCTGGAAACATTAAAAAGCATGAGGGGGACATAGGCCTATGAGTTTTTTGGTAAACATTTTCCAATAACTCCATCTGTATATTGTACAGGTACATGAATAGATAGACCAGGGGAATAAAATTGAAAGTTCAGAAATATCTATTCATATGGAAATTTAGTGTGTAATAAACATGACATTTCAAAAAGCCCTAGGGCAAAAAATGACTTTTTAAAAAATAGACTATTTTTTAGAGTCTTTTTAGGTTCATAGCACAACTGACCAAAGGTACAGAGATTTCTTATATCCTTCCTGCCCTGACATGGATAGCCTCCTCCATGATCAACATCCCCTCATTAGAGTGGTATATTTGTTACAATTGTTAAACCTACATTGACATATCATTTTCACCCAAAATTCATAATTTACGTTTGGGGCATACTATTGATATTTTACATGCCATAGGTTTGGGCAAATTTATAATAAAATGAATCCACCATTGTGGTATTATACAGAGGAGTTTCACTGCCCTAATGGTGCTGGAGCAACTGGATAGTTATTTAGAAAATAATAAAATTCTATTTGTATCTCACACTGTACATAAGAATAAACTCCCAAGTGGATCAGAAAAATGTAAAGAAATGAAACTACACAGTGCTAGAAGAAAATATGGGTAAATTCCTCTATAATCTAGGTCAATGGAAGGCATTTCTACCTATGATTCAAAATTCAGCTGTAATAATAGATTAAAATTTGACTACATGAGGCCGGGCGCGGTGGCTCACGCTTGTAATCCCAGCACTTTGGGAGGCCGAGGCGGGTGGATCACGTCAAGAGATCGAGACCATCCTGGTCAACATGGTGNTCACCATGTTGGTCAGGCTAGTCTCAAACTACTGACCTCAGGTGATCCACCCACGTTGGACTCCCAAATTGCTGGGATTACAGGCATAAAGTTCCTGTAATCAAAACTGTAACATACTAACTTTTAAAAATAAGACTGAGGGGATCATGCCTATTATCCCAGCACTTTGGGAGGTTGAAGTAGGCAGAGTGCCTGAGGCCAGGAGTTTGGGATCACCCTGAGCAATATAGCAAGATCCAGTCTCTACAAAAAAATAAAAATTAAAAATAAAAATTACCTAGGTGAGCTGGCACATACCTATATTCCTAGTTACTCAGGAGGCTGAGGTGCAAGGATCACTTCAGCCCAAAAGTTCAAGGCTGCAGTGAGCTCTGATCATGCCACTGCACGATGACAGAGCAAGATCCTGTCTCTCTTATTATTATTTTTTGAGATGAAGTCTTGCTCTTGTTGTCCAGGCTGGAGTGCAATGGTGCAATCTTGGCTCACTGCAACCTCTGCCTCCTGAGTTCAAGTGATTCCCCTGCCTCAGCCTTCCAAGTTGCTGGGGTTATAGGCGTGCACCACCATACCTGGCTAATTTTTCTATTTTTAGTTGAGATGGGGTTTCACCATACTGGCCAGGCTGGTCTAGAACTCCTGGCCTCAAGTGATCAGCCTGCCTTGGCCTCGCAAAGTGCTGGGATTACAGGTGTGAGCTACTGTGTACAAAACTCTATTTTTTTAAATACATAAAAAAATCAAATCTAGATCTTGTACTAAGTAGATACAGTTGAGCCTTCATCTCTGTGGAATACAAATTAACCCCCTCCAAAACTAAAAGTAATAGTACAAAAAAGGATACATATTTTAAAAATATGCTGTAACAACTATTTACATAGCATTTAAATTGTATTAGGCACTAAAAGTAACCTAGAGATTATTTAAAGTATACAGAAGGGTATGTACAGGTTATATGCAAATACTACTGGACTTTATATAAGGGATTTGAGCATCTAGGGATTCTCTGTTTTCTATAGGGGTCTTGAAACCAATCCCATGTGGCTATCAGGGGACCACTGTATAGTAACATACACTTTGCAGACAAAAACCTGAAGATCAAAGAAGTTATGGGCTGGGCATGGTGGCTCATGCCTGTAATCCCAGCACTTTGGGAGACCAAGGCGGGCGGATCATGAGGTCAAGAGATTAAGACCATCCTGGCCAACACAGTGAAACCCTGTCTCTACTAAAAACACAAAAATTATCTGGGCGTGGTGGTGCGTGTCTGGAGTCCCAGCTACTCGAGAGGCTGAGATAGGAGAATTGCTTTAAACCAGGAGGCAGAGGTTGCAGTGAGCCGAAATCACACCACTGCACTCTTGTCTGGTGCCTGGTGACAGAGCGAGACTGTCTCAAGAAAAAAAAAGGAAAAAAAAAAAAAAAAAAAAAAAAAAAAAATTTGACTACATGAAACATTTGTATGCCAGAAACACTATAAGCAAATTTGAAAGACAAATGCAAACTAGGAGAAAATAGTTGCAACATATATCTCATATAAAGGACAGTAAAAGCCCTTGTATGGAAAGAACTTTTAAAACGGGGTAAGGCGTGGGCGTGGTTGCTCACGCCTGTAATCCCAGCACTTTGGGAGGCCCAGGCGGGCGGATCACGAAGTCAGGAGTTTGAGACCAGCATGACCAACATGGTGAAACCCCATCTCAACTAAAAATACAAAAATTAGCCAGGCATGGTGGCAGGTGCCTGTAGTCCCAGCTACTCAGGAGGCTGAGACAGAAGAATTGCTTGAACCTGGGAGGCGGAGGTTGCAGTGAGCCAAGATCGGGCCCCTGCACTCCAGCCTGGGGCAACAGAGCAAGACTCTGTTTCAAAATAAAAAAAGGAGTGAGGAGGTGGTAAAAGGCTGAAAATCTAGTAGAAAAATGAACAAATGATTGAGGGGAGAAAAAGCAACATTTAAATGGCCTTTAAACTAGGATGTTTAAGTTTACTCTGAAGAGAAATAAAGCTACACTGAGATACAACTTCTTCCCTATCATATTGGCAAAAATTTAAAAAGCTCTGGTAATATTCTCTTGGTGAGGCTGTGAAGAAACTGGCACTGTCAAATTTTATACCAAATGGTACAACTCTTTTGGCATATCTAACTATGCGTGTTTACTTATGACCCAGTAATTCCTCATTTAGGAATTTATTCTGAAGATATACCTTCAAAAATGTGAAAATATTTACATACTGTTTCTATACTTGCAAATTATTGGAAATAACCTAAATGCCTATGCAGATGAGAGTAACTGAATAAATTATGGCCCATTTACACTGAGGCATACTAAGATGTAAAAAAGAATAGAGGTGATATCTGATCTGAGAGTGGTGATTTCTAGGATATATTTATGAATTTTTTAAAAAGCAAATTACAAAATATATAGTAAGCTATTTATGTAAAAAAAGGAAGAGAGAGGGAAATACATGTTTTTGATCACTTTGCAGAAAAGAAATACAGGAATGGTAAGCCAAAAATTAAGGAGAATCGGTTATGCATAGGGGATGTGTAAGTATGAGATGGAAGTATATGGATGGGGTGACTTTTGTATAGTTTTGATTTGGGGAATCATATTAAGGTTTTACATGCTAAAGTAATAATAAAATCAAGGATGAAAAATTATTTTTTAAAAACCTGTAATATAGAATATAAAAAGTAACACATGAACCTATTTAAATGGGAGAGAAAGAAGTTACCCATGTCACTTTTTTTAAACACCAGTACTTTAATTATATGTCCTCAGTCTAAGACAAAAAGAACTGAAAACAAATTGAATTCTAGCTAGTACAGTAAGTCCTCATTTAATGTTCTCTGTAAGTTCTTGGAAGCTGCAACTTTAAGGGAAATGGCCTATGATGAAACCAGTTTTTACCACAGGTAAGTTGATATGAACAAGAGTTAAGTTACAGTGGCATATTTATGGCCATAAAAACATCACCAAACTTGTAAATAAAGACCCAAAATACTTCTAATCTTAAATATTGAAATAAATATGAGCTTCATATACAATTAAGAAAGATGAATATAAACAAATAATTACTCAATTTTTGGTGACTTGTTGTTCAACAGTGGTCATTATAGTGGTGAGTTAAATCAAGGAATAAATGTTTACAAATGGAAAATTGTAAGGAGCACCTCCTATCACTGAACAGTTCAAAAACAAGTGTGGCAGGTTCACTGAGTGCTTTCATACTGCCTTGTTTATTGTGCACTTGTATGATTATCATATGCTTTACAAATTTTTGTTTTACATACTTTGTATCCACTCTTTCCTTCATTTTCCAACCTGTTATTCCAGTTCAGGGTCACAGGTGGCTGAAGTCTATCCTGGCAGCTCAGGCACAAGATAGGAACCAACTCTGGACAGGATACCATCCCATCTCAGGGCGCACTCACACACACATGTACACACACACGCACTCATTCGTACTAGGACCATTTAGACATGCCAGTGAACCTAATGTGCACATCTTTGGGTTGTGGGAGGAAACCAGAGTACCCAGGAAGATCCACAGAGATGTGAGGAGAATGGAAGAACCACTCAGACAGTGGCCCTGGCTAGGAATTGATTTTTTTTTCTCATCTGAGTTATAACTTAATTTGAGGACCTGCTGTAGACATGTTTTTTACAGTGGCGTGACCTAACAGTGGCAAAAGCAAATTCTGTGAATTCTTTACTTCCTGTGAGTTCTGGGATTTTGCAAGTGATTAAACATTGAGGAGGATGGGAACTAGGTTTCTCACTGTTGAAAATGGGAATTACAAATTCAGTAGACTATAATGAACTTGAAATGTTTATGGTTCATACATACATCTATTAGGTATATATGTGTGTGCATGTATTATATATATGGATATATATGGAGAGAGAGCTGAATAGAATAGGTATGTGAATTGTGGGGTATACATAGATCCTCACATATATCCTAGCTCTGTCCACTGAAGAAACCAGAGCTACTTTAAGAAATGACCGATCACAGGGCTGGGCAGAAAAAGTATAAAAGATGTCAGATTGTGTTATTTTGCCATAAAGTAAGGAAGTGCCCAGTTTAAAAAGTCACAAGAAGCATTTTGAAGGGGCTTACTGGCCAAATCTGGGATAATCTGGGCATCAAAATTATATCACTAGATTATTACCCAGTGAATAAAATAATTCAATGGAAAAGTTAGAGCTTATTTTGATATTAGAATGCCGACTAATAAATATAGAAGAAATTATGGAGTTTAGAAAAATCAGTTTTTTGCACTCATCATAGCAAAACATCGTGTGCCACCTGATGTGGCATGCTGAGAAGGCAGCACCATTCCTTTTGTGGCACATTCCTTTTCCAAAATGTGTAACTTGAGTCTAATTATGAAGAAACTTCAGATAAACCCCATTTGAAGGGTTTTCTGCAAAATAGCTGGCCTATACTCTTCCAAAATGTCAAGGTCATAGAAGATAACGAGGCTGATGATTAAACATTTCAGATTAAAAGAGACATTGCAACTAAATGAATTCTGGGCTAGGAAAAAAATACGCTAAAGGCAATCATTGGAACAATTAGAAAAATTTGAATATGGATTGTAGATTAGATAGTAGCATTATGTCAATGTTTTGTTTTTGTGTGTCTGATGGAGTTTCACTCTGTCACCCAAGCTGGAGTGCAATGGCTCAATCTCAGCTCACTGCAACCTTCGTCTCTTGGGTTCGAACAATTCTTCCACCTCAGCCTCCCGAGTAGCTGGGATTACAGACATGCAGCACCATGCCCAGCTAATTTTTTTTTTCTTTTGTATTTTTAGTAAAGATGGGGTTTCACCATGTTGCCCAGGCTGGTCTCAAACTCCTGACCTCAAGTAATCTGCCCGCCTCAGCCTCCCAAAGTGTTGGGATTACAGGCGTGAGCCACTGCACCCGGCCTACGTCAATGTTAAATATAATTTTGGTAATTATTCTGTGGTTATATAAGAGAATGTCTTTGTTCTCAGAAAATATACTTAAGTTTTTAGAGATAGAGGAGCATGGTGTCAGCAATTAAACCTTGAAATGGGCTCAAAAATTAAATTATGTTTAATTTCAATTAATAATATCTCCTCTTGACAGTAAGAACAAATCATAAAGCAAATGTGCAAAATGTTAACAACTGGTGAATCCGTGTAAAGCATTTGTGGAAATTCTTTGTAGAGTTCTTAAAACTTTTTTATAGTTTGAAATGACATCAAAATTAAAAGTTACAAAAATATTTGATTATAAAATACAAATTTTACTCATTATCTATTGATGGTCTTGCAGTTTTGTTTTGTTTTTCTAATCTTAAAATTTTGTTCTAGATATTTCACATGGCTCCTCTTCTTGTTTTAGTGACAGCATGAACTGTCAAAAGCTTTGAGTTCGAGCATCTTGGTAGCAAGAGTCGATCTTACTTGTATTTGTCTCCCTATTGCCAAATACAGCTCTTGATATGTTGTTGGTTTTCATGAATTTTGTTTTTGTATTTCTTTCCCCACTTACAGAGAAAACCTCTTGTGTTGGAAGGGATTGATTTGGGGCCATGTACAAGCAAATGGACGGCGGATTACCTAAGCCAAGTTGGAGGGAAGAAAGAAGTAAAGATTCATGTTGCTGCAGTTGCACAGATGGACTTCATTAGTAAGAACTTTGTATATAGGTATTTTCTTCTGAGGTTTACTCTGGGGATACAAATAACTTTTTTAAAACTTTTAAAATATTTTTGCATTATTATACAAAGACCATATGGCATTTCATCTTTTGGCTGGTTTGATGTAATCATGGAATAGCTTACTGATTTTTAAAGAGTGGTTTTTAAAAGACAAGAATTTTCTGAGTTTACATAATTATACAATGACTTTTTTTTTTTTGGAGACAGAGTCTTACTCGGCCACCCAGGCTGGAGTGCAGGTGGGTGATTTCGGCTCACTGCAACCTCTGCCTCCCATGTTAAAGTGATACTCCTGTCTCACCCTCTCGAGTAGCTGGGATTACAGGCACATGCCACTATGCCCAGCTCACTTTTGTATTTTTAGTAGAGACAGAGTTTCACCATGTTGGCCGGGCTGGTCTCAAACTCTTGGCCTCAAGTGATCTACCTGCCTCAGCCTCCCAAAATGCTGGGATTATAGGCATGAGCCACCATGCCTGGCCAACAATTTTTTTAAATAGGGTATATACCCAACACCTTCTGGAGGGTTAGAAGGAAGAGAACATTTCTATAACTAGGGTTAGATTACGTGTGAAGTTGGATGTGCTGTGTTCATTCAATGCTTGATTAATTAATTGATCCTACCACATTAGTAACTGTTGTCTAGAACAGGAAATTCCAAAAGGCTCTTGATTTCTTTTTCTGTCCTCTCCAGAACACCAGGATAAGGTATGTTCGATATAATCTTTCATCAACTTAGATAACTTAAAAAAATCATACTTAATTTTCCCTTTTGATAAAATAGTCTTAAATACCTTTAATTTCTTTCATGATTGTCATTTTATGCTGTGGAATTTCTTAAGAGTAAATAAGAAATAGACAAAAGCCACTGATTGTCTAAAGATGAAAGTTTTAAATGCTGTCATCTTGCAGATTTCATTTGCTATTTATTCCCATGAGTTTCATTTAAATTGTTAAATTAAAAACAAACAGCTTTCAAACTCTGAGCGTGTGATGTTCCCAGCAAATGCAGTCTATTGAAAAGCCATGTAGTTCACAAGACTTCAATTTAGAGATGAGTTAAACAGAGCTTCTAACGTCCACAGCCATTACTTTCTCATTAGTTTTCCAAGTTCATATAGCAGCTGCCAAAGCATTGCTCAGTTTTTAATCCTTTGAATATTCACCATAATGGTTTTAGTTATTAATAGGCCATGAATTGAATTTAATTGCCCTAAGTTTTTCCAAGTGTAAGAACTTTTCATTTTTTATCAGATTAAAAATGCTGGAATGATGAGTGTTTTTCAGCCAGCAGTTAATGATGTTTATTTTCCAGAGAGTCCAATGCCGTAACAAACCAGTATTGAAACTTCATCTTGAATTGCCTTGATGTTTTGTCATGTCTTTTAAACTTTTCAAAACTTGTTTTTGAAGCACATACGTTATGTAATAGTTCCTATCGCAGCTTCCTCCAAGCCTTTCACTAGAGCTACTAAAAAGTTGCAAGATTTTTTTTTTTTAAGTGGAAGAAAAAAAATAGGTTTAGTCATTTTTAGCATTTACCAAGCAGTAAGAAAGAAGGAATGCATCCAGGCCAGAGAGAGACTAGAAAGTAAGAAACCCTGCACACACGTATTTATTATGATTATCACTTCAAATTGAGATTGCTATTACGCTTCATCAAACATTGGAAGATTGATACATTAGCAAATATGAATTTTTACTTCTTTCTTCTTGGTAGTGCTCATTGTTCAGAGTTAGGATAGTCTGGACAAAAGAACCCTGAGTGTTGAAAGGATATTGTTGGCATTCTTCTGATCATAGATTGTTTTTAAAAAGTCTCATCATGTCAGGTTTGCCACATCTATCTGTCGCATCCTGTAATTCCTGTCATCATCTTGCTCTTGTTGTTTATTGTACTCTCATCAGTTCTGATCTTGATTTTTTAAAGCAGCCTTTTCCAAATGGGGAACAAGACAGTGAAGGGCTTTTTTCTTCTTTTTTAAAATGTTGATGACTACTTGCATGCTGCAAAAGGGTACATTATCATTGCTGTTAACCCCACCATCTGTCCTTTACTGAGCACTTATTATATTATCAGGTACTGTGCCAAGCAATCTAGGTTATATTACTCATTTAAACTTCAGAACAATCTGTGAGGTAGATATTTTTAATAATAATTTCACAAATGAGGAAAGAGAGGTTTAAAAATATTAAGTAACTTCTCAGGATCATATAGCTTGAAATGATGGAGCCCAAGGTGTTTACTCAAATTTCCCTGACTCCACAGAGTCTGTGATTAAACCTTTGACATTACCCTCCTTACTGGTGCCGCCAGTCCAGACAAATGGCACGTTAATAACCAGTGCTCTTCTTTTTGAAACTTGGATAGATTTTTAAAAAGTCAAACAACTTCCCAATTTATATTCCTAATTTCTCCCCCATCTGGGCTTAGCAGAAGCTATGACAGGTAGATCAGAAGATCCAGGCGTCCTGGGAATTGTGTATGACTCAGTTGCTTTCCCTGAGCAGGATGGGAGCCCCCTGGCCTCAGAGTGACTGATGCTGGGAGGTTCCTGGTTACAGACGCTGGAGGCAAGTGGCTGTGTCTTATCTCAGGAGCTGTTTCAACAGCAGGCACAGGAGGCAGCTGCCACACAATTAGGACTGAAGGAGCTTCCAAGTCACTGCTTGGTCCATCTACACAAGAACTGCATCCCCCAGTATACACTAGGTCACTGGCAAAAACTAGAGTCAGCTAGGCAATTCTTGGCCGCTCACAGGTTGCCCCTGACTCTGGCTGGAGCCTCCTGTGAGGGGGTTACTGTTAATGACTGTATAGAGAGTGGGTGCCAGGCAGCAGTCAGTGTCATGGGCACAGAACCTAACAGCTGATTTCCAACTCTCACTCATGAAAATAAAAGTTGCTGGAGCTTGAAAAAAAAAAAAAAAAGAGAGAGAGAGAGAAGGTTGCTGGTGGCACCCCAGTTCTGCTTATCTGGGCTGAGCTACTCTGTCTGCTTTTTCAGGGTCACTATTCTGCTCTGTTTTTCTAAAGGTCTAAAGAATACTTCTGTGTTCGCCCTAGTAAGAAAGCTAAGCATGGGTAAATGCAGCAATTACAATAGTAGCTATGGTCCAGATAAGCTTCCCTACTGGCCCAGACCCTTCAAAGATGCTTTGAAGAATGAAAGCATGAAGGAATGAAGGGTATATGGTGAGGTCACGGATGGGAAACATTGAGTAGGAGAATGCCAAGTAAATTTGTTGATATTAGTTAGTCAGACACTATTTATAGTCCAAGAAATCGTACTCTGCATTGGTCTGAGTAGTGGCAAACCCCTCTTTCCTCTCCTGCAATGCTCACTCTACATAATTACCAGGAGTGGCCTGAAGTTCAGATTGACATTCACAGCACCCACCAATCCATAACCTGGCATCAGATTCCCTTAGCTTTTTGCAGGAGGATATAAGGCAGAAAATGGCATTCTAGCAGGATCGTATCAGTGGAGCCTTTATACAAATCCAGGGACTATTTTTTGACTCATCAAGTTATAGCTTAGTTGTAAGGGAATGAGACTATGGAGGCAGTATAGAAACACCTGAGCTTAGGTAAGACACATGGACCACAGAAACCAGTAGCTTGAAACACCCCATGAACTTAGCTTCTGCATTCTTCCAAGGGCCGTACTCAGGAGAGTTGCACTATACACAGGAAAGCCAAATCCTCTACTTCTGAACAAGTATTTATAGTCTACTCATAAGCCACATAGTGCAGACATAATTCATCAACCAAAGGTTATTTTTACAATAAACAGTGTTACCTGATGTCACAACTGACATTCCACATTTGTCTTTAATTTTTTTTTTTTATTCAACATAATTCATGGGTTCACACCATGTTTGTTTTTACTTAGTATATTTCTGGGAAAACAGTGCAAGGAAAAAGTAAGCTGGCCCTAGTCATCTCATAGAGAAGAAGAAAGTGTTTAGCTAACCTTTCCTTTCCACTTTCTCAGTACAGAGTTCAAGTGGGAAGATATTTAGTAGTAAGACTGAAAAGATTTCAGCTTTTAATCAGAAGTTTGGAGGCAGGAGTGCAGTACAGGGAGCAGAGGAGGGGCTTTTGACCTAGAGGCTTTTGAGGAATTCATTGTCTTGTTACCTACACAGTATCATCTTCATTTATAGGGCAGTACTTTTGATTTTAGAAAGTGAAGGGATAGAAGCAATCTGGAGTAAAAATATCCTTCTAGCTCAAGAGTGTGATGTAAAGAAAACAAACTTTGCTTCCACAGTATTCAGCCCTGTTCATCAGGATAGAATAAGACAGGCATTTGGGCAGAAATTTTGAAGGATAAAAATTGGTCACTTCACTGGAATTCTCCTTGAGCTATTCCTCAGAAGTAAGGATGAGAGCAGTGTTACTGGCTTCTGTGTTCTGTGATAGTGCCAAAAGGTGGGAAGAATGGAGGGTGGTTATCTTCATGGGACCATTTGTGTATTGTCTCTTCCAAAGTAGCACGAGTAGTTTGCCCCGCTCTTCATAAGATTTGTTTTGCCATGACACTTAAAAACAGGTAGCAGAACCTGAAAGTCTGTGTATTTGCAAAGGTAATCAGATACCATAGGAACATTTTTCTATCATAACTTGGAATAGAAGAATATTGACCTATAGAAGGATCCATTAGAACCATAGAGTTTTAAATCTTTAATTCCAAAATTTTAGACAACTTAGGTCAAGTAAGCCTACTGCTCAATGAGTTTTGAAAAGTTAGAATTTCACATAATAGATTATAATAAAAATCACAGATAGTGTAAAACAGGAAAGTATATCCAACTGCAACAAGCCTTTATGTGTAGTGATTACATTCTTACTAGTTAATCTGTTATTATTAAGCCCAGGGATTCCTTTTTGTTTATTTCAGAACTTTACCTTTTGACCAGTTGGTCCAGAGAGCCGCTGAAGAGAAGCATAAAGAATTCTTTATTTCAGAGGTAATTACGTTTAACGTTTTTAAAAGAAGTCATTAATATCTGTATACTAAATGGGTTTTCTCATGAAAGGATGCTAGATATACAAGAGCTATGGCCTTCTCTGATAGACATTCTTAAGATGTAGTTGGATGCACCATAGACTGTAGCTCTGCTATTTATTAGCTCTCAAACTGGCCAGACTATTTTTCTGTACTTCAGTATAGTCATCTTTGAAATGGGGGTAATAATAGTACCTATTTTATAAAGTGTTTGTGAGGATTGACTAAATAAAGTCAGTAAAATACTTAGCAGTATGCCTGATGTATAGAAATTACTCATTAAATGTTAGCTATTAATGTTACTTCCTTTTAAAATGCTTTGGTCTGATATGCCAACATCAAATGCTAATGAAGAACTTCATTTTCATATGTATTGACTATTAGCCTGTTTCCATATTCTTGTTATCAATGTGATTTCTGTGTGTATTTGCTACAATATTTGTTCAGGATTAAATGCAGAAGAATTCTACTTAATTATAGTCTAGCTTTAAATAATTCAATTTAAATGCCTTGAGTAAGGCGTTAAGGCCTTGTATATAAATATGTTTTTAAAAATTCACTGTGTTGGCCGGGTGCAGTGGCTCACGCTTGTAATCCCAGCACTTTGAGAGGCCGAGTCAGGCAGATCACCTGAGGTCAGGAGTTTGAGACCAGCTTGACCAACATGGAAAAACCCCATCTCTACTAAAAATACAAGATTAGCCAGGCATGGTGGTGCATGCCTGTAATTCTAGCTACTCGGGAGGCTGAGGCAAGAGAATCACCTGAACCTGGGAGGCGGAGGTTGTAAGCCGAGATCACGCCATTGCACTCTAGCCTGGGCAGCAAGAGCGAAACTCCATCTCAAAAAAAAAAAAAGAAAAAAAAATTCACTGTGTTACTCAAAAGCACATTTTAAAAACAAATTGCTTTTTAAGCTTCGAATAAAGCTGTTGTTTGCTTTGTGCCATTGCATTTTTACAGTTCTCTTGTCAGGTAATATTTACACTAGATTACCACCACAATCCCCACAAACTCTGTAGGTCTGTGATTCTGTAAAATTACCAAAATATCTTTTAAAATTGATCCCATTAGTTGCACCTGAGAACTGTTTTCTAACTTTATAGCCATGCTTTGAACATGTATATTCAGTTGCCCTTTGGTACTTTTGTGTCTAAAGGTAAAGAGTGGTACAGATTTAAATAGCCATGAAATGTGAAGTAAAAGAAATAGACACATGGTAAATGATTAAAGTCTAAAAATTATGGAAAGTGTGTAAACAAGATCAACATGAACTGTCAGTTTGGTCCTCTAGGAAGCAGATGCTGAGATGGAATTAGGACTGCAAAGGGCTTGCTAAATAGAAATACCTGTGAAAGGAAAGGCGAGGAAGCCATCAGGTGTAGATACAGATCTGACAGTCTCTGCCAACTCATCCTGGAACTCCTGAGCAGACTGCCTGTGAGAAAAGTCCTGCATTGGGTGGCAGTGTCCAGGTCATTTACCATCTTAAGTCACTGGTTGGGACTACCCCAAGAAGAGCATGTCCTGGGTTCCAATCCTGAGGTGGACCTAAAGAAGTTAACATCTGGTAGCTCTAAGCTAATCACGCTTCTTGCAGTTAAGCAGTGAGTTCTTTCTCAGGAATCAGAAGGGATTCCTGAGAAGTGTACCTCTGTGTCTGCTGCATGAATTTTATTTTTTAAGTCTTAGAACTAGTAGAAAACCCTCAGAATTTTGAAGAACGTATTTTGAAAATCTGATGTGGTGGTAGCTAAAAATAGAAAAACAGTGAATCTGAGAGTTCAATTAAAACTTCAATCATCAATTTATGTCTTAAGATAAATATGATGATCTTTTGAAGTTTGTGTTGTAAAGCTCAGTATTGGGTGAAAGTGGCAGAATTCTGAGTTTGGATTGCCTATGTGCTTGACTTGGTCTCACTTTTCTAACAGTGAATGTTTTATAGTTCAAACAGTTCTCTATTTAGGTACTTGGTGAAGTATAAATAATAATTTTCGGCCTAGCATGGTGGCTCATGCATATAATCCCAGCACTCTGGGAGGCCAAGGCAGGAGGATCACTTAAGTCCAGGAGTTTGAGACCAACCTGGACAATATAGCTAGTCTCCTCTACAAATAGTAAAAAAAAAAAAAAAAAAAAAAAAAAAAAAAAAAAAAAAAAAAAAAAAAAAAAAAAAAAAAAAAAATTAGCTGAACATCCCAGCTGCTTGGAGGGCTGAGGCAGGAGGATTGCCTGAGCCCAGGAGGTTGAGGCTGCAGTGGGCATGATCGCATCACTGCACTCCAGCCTGGGTAGCAGAATGAGACCCTGTCTGAAAACAATTTAAAAATTTTAAATAATTTTTAAATGATCAATTTAAGTTTACTATGATGAAATTATATTTTTCTAATTCATACATGAGCTGAATCTTAAGCATTTGGCTTGAGAATTTATAGGCAGGGATAGGCTTACATTTATAAAATACAGTGTTCTAGATTTTAAATATATATATTATTAAAAGCATAAGGTATTTTGTTACTGTACATTTGTATTGTATTTGCTAAGTACTAAAACACTATTAAAATAAATCTAAATAATTTGAAATATAAAGACTAACTCATTGTAGCTTTAGAGATGGTATGTATATATTGTCTTTAGAATTTATTTTAATGTTTTAAGGATCCAGTCATTATTATGAGCAAGACATTTCTTCATATGGCCACCAGAGAGCATTAGTAGAAAGGGTAAGAGAATTAACTTTTTTTTTTCTTTCGTGAAACAAGGTCTTGCTCTGTCACCCAAGCTGGAGTGCAGTGGCACTATCATAGCTCACTGCAGCCTCAGCCTCCCGAGTAGCTGGGACTCCAGGCACGCACCACCATACCCAGCTAACTTTTTTGTAGATGGTGTCTCACTCTGTTGCCCAGGCTGGTCTTGAGCTCTCGGACATAAGCAGTCTTCCTCCCCTAGCCTCCCAGAGTGCTAGGATTATAAGTGTGACCCACCATGACCAGCAATAATTGAACTTTTTAGAAAACTACTTAACTGGGTCAGATTTTAAGATTTGTTTCGTAACTTCTTTACTTTGTAATATTTTTGAAATTAAGGTGTTTTATTTTTTTCCATAGTTCTGAGTACATAATTCTTTTTTTACTTTTAATTATTATGAATACATGATAGCTATACATATCTTAGCATTTTTACATTTTAAAAAGTAAAATATTGCTGATGTTATTTTTCCATGGGATGTTTAAGGATGAGAAATACTACTTACGGTCACTTGGAGAAGATCCTAGAAAGGTAAGAATTCTGAAGGTAAACAATTGCTTAAAATCTAAATGGATGTATATATGTTAACTGGCAACACTGTAATTTTTATACTTACTGCCTGACATATACCCTGTTTATCCTTTTCCATTCTTTTCTCAGTGATTTGTGCCTCTAAATAAGAAGTAAGATGATTAAAAATTGATTACTTTGTATTCAGGTAGGCCTTTAGAATCTTAGTGTTTACAGTCATCTAATCGCTATACAATAAGAAATTTCTTCTACTGCATATTTTATAGGTAGTGACTCAGCTAATAAAATATTAATCCAAAAATAATTATTAGAATCCTGAATAGTTTATTGTATAAGTTTTGACATGTACTCAGAGTCAAATCAGTATGGTTGCCATGTTAAGGAGTAGTCCCTAAAATGATCAAATGGGATTTTTTTTCCATTAGTTTCATCATTTAGTTGTTTACCCTCTCTTTTAGTCCCTTCCCTCAGTAGAATCCACAGATTTTATGTAGGTGATGACTAGTAATGTTAGTTGAGGGTGTTGACTCCTGAATATTAGAGTGGACAACAATTGTGTAATTCTTGCTTAAAGTAGGAAGAACCTTTCCATTAATGAAGTATATTGAGCTTAATGGTAGTGATACTATTAAATCTGCAGCCTTGTTACACAGCCTGGTATTTCTTCATTTGAAAGATCATATATCAGCTGAGCGAGGTGGCTCATGCCTATAATCCTAGCACTTTGGGAGGCTGAGTTGGGTGGATCACCTGAGGTCAGGAGTTGGAGACCAGCCTGGCCAACATATTAAAACCCCATCTATACTAAAAATTAGTCAGATGTGGTGGCGCATGTCTGTAATCCCAGCTACTCAGGAGGCTAAAGCAAGAGAATTGAGAATCACTTGAACTCGGGAGGCGGAGGTTGCAGTGAGCCAAGATGGTGCTACTGTACTCCACCCTGGGTGACAGAGCAAGACTCTGTCTCAAAAAAAAAAAAAAAAAAAGAGAGAGAGAAGGAAAGAAGAAAGGAAGGGAGGAAGGGAAAAAGATCATATATTGGCACATGGTCACATCATAGTATTTTAGTATTTTAAAGCAGTGAACAAAGTTTTTCCCCATTCTTCCTTAATATCATGGGTTCTAATTTAATTTTTCCTTTATATGTTTCTGTAAATACAGGATGTTGCAGATATCAGAAAGCAGTTTCCTTTGTTGGAAGGAGATATTAAGTTTCCAGAATTCTTCAAAGAGGAACAGTTCTTTTCCAGTGTTTTTCGAATTAGTTCACCAGGATTACAACTTTGGACTCATTATGATGTATGCTACATAAATGAGATATCTAAAGCTACAATAGATCTTTAGCATTATAGATTTAACAGTCACAGTTTTAACTTCCTATAGGCTACCCTAAAGATCTGTGTAATTTGCTGAAACATGACTTTTGGAAAATAAGTACTCTGCATAGCAGTGATATAGGAGTGAATTATTTTGCTAATGGCAAAGCCTAGTTGGTTCCTCACATTTGTATTGCTCTGTAGTCCTAATTCTTGATTCATCATCATTTATATACCAAGTTTTATGAAGTGATTTTTTTGCATGTGAAAAATGGCCATCAGATAAGGGGGGAGATTGTATTGAAAAAAGTGATAAGCTTGTAGTATGAGGAGGTGTAAATGATACACATGACTCTGGCCACCCAGAGATTCATAGCTCTCTCCAGAGTTACATTATTCAGGAAAATGGCGGAAGCTTGTTGAGTCATTAGCAATTATAAGATATGAGGATATCTGAAGATCTTAGGATATATATGCCTTGAGAATATCACATATCTGCTGTATTTGTAGGGCAGCAAAATGTGTGCAATATTGGTCTTATTTATCAGTGGTGTTATTTTGTTTGCTTAAGTTTGTGTACACATCTATAAGCATTTTAAAAACATTAAAAATACTAGTTTGGTATATAGTTTAGTGTTGGGAAGTAGAGAAACTTAAGGAAGGTAGAGCAATATCTGACAGGTTTCCAAAGAGAAAAAAATTTTTTTAAGTTCTAAATCACACTATAATGTTTTATACATGTGTTTTATAATTCAGTTGAGAACTTCTTGGGAGGATTTTACCATAGTCAGTAAATCTGTAATTAAATGAAATAGACATAAACTCTTAGCATATTTTATATTTTATATTAATGACATGGTGAGAAAATCATGTGGTAATACATTGTAACTACATTCTATGATTATTATCATTATTATTATTGTTGTTGTTTTTGAGACAGAGTCTTGCGCTATCACCCAGGCTGGAGTACAGTGGCACAATCCTAGCTCACTGCAACCAATCCCTCCCAGGTTCAAGCGATTCTTGTGTCTCAACCACCTGAGTAGCTAGGATTACAGACATGCACCACCACACCCGGCTAATTTGTTTTTGTAATTTTAGTATAGATGGGGTTTTGCCATGTTGACCAGGCTGGTCTTGAACAACTGGCCTCAAGTGATCTGTCCCCCTCGACCTCCCAAAGTACTTGTGAGCCACGGCACCCAGCCTCTATGATTATGTTTTAAATTTTAAGTAGTATCCCTTTTACTTTGAATTATAATAGAATGCTGGGGCATGGTGGCTCACGCCTGTAATCCCAGCACTTTGGGAGACTGAGGCGGGCGGATCACCTGAGGTCGGGAATTCGAGACCAGCCTGACCAACCTGGAGGAAACCCCATCTCTACTAAAAATACAAAATTAGCCGGGTGTCATTGCAGGTTCCTGTAATCCCAGCTACTTGGGAGGCTGAGAATCACTTGAACCCAGGAGGCGGAGGTTGTGGTGAGCCGAGATCATGCCATTGCACTCGAGCCTGGGCAACAAGAGCAAAACTCTGTCTCAAAAAGAGAAAAAAAAGAATGATAATAGAATGTAATATATAAAGCTTTTCTTATAAAATTAAGTCAGAGGAATGCTAGTTTGATTGTATAGTTATAGTATACATAAGTAAAGGGTTAGTACTAAAAGGAAGAATGCTTGGGTAGAAGTAAAAAGTCATGAATGCATCTTGCTTAGTGTTTATCTTAAATCCTTAGCTGAGAATTATGTGGCTCTGCCTTTAACATTTTTCACAATCTTTACCAAGAAAGTGTACTGTTGCATTCACAGGAAAAGTTAAGATTGCTCCAATAATAAATATATATTAAGCAAATCTGTCATAAATCACCATACAGTTTGCAGAAAAGAAAAAAAATAAAATCTGTGAAATTATATCCCTATAAAAATAATTTGAAAATCAAGATACCTCTAATGAAATTATGGTTGAACATACATTAAGAGTTTAGCAGTAGTTGCAGCAGTACCTTGTATTTTCCTGGCATCTGATTTTTCTAAGTGCTTTTACTCTGTTCTCTAATATTGGGCTTATAGCATTCCTTAACAGATAGTAAATATTAACCAAGGGGAGCCTTAAATAGGCTTAACTGTGCTGTCAGTTAATGACAAGGGTAAATAGTTTTCTGACTCCCCATTTCCTAATTTGCCAAGCCTTCCCATTTTAGGGCAGTACTGCAGAAATGTCTTTAAGGCCCAGTTGTATATGGAATACAAATGTTTTTATTGTTAGGTGACTGTAAGAGTCCTAAGTAAAGTAAATCAAGTCTCATTAAAGGATCAGGTTTTCAATTAAAGTTTAGAATGCCATTGGTTCTATTTATTTGAATTTTAGATAATAATTACCCCATAAGCTTTTATTGGTCTTCAGGTAATGGATAATTTCTTAATACAAGTGACAGGAAAAAAGCGTGTTGTACTCTTCAGCCCTCGAGATGCCCAGTATTTATATTTAAAAGGTAGGGTTTTTGTTTGTTTTTTTTTTGAAGTTTATATTTCTAAAGTCTATTCAGTTACTCTTTGAGAAATCTCTTGATTCTTACAGGAAAAGAACACTTTAGGATGTCTTCCTAATTGTATTCTCCATTGTATTTGTGTATATATGTAATAACAGGTTCAAATTTTGAGATTATCTTAATTATATTACATGGCTATCAGTCATCAGAATTAAAGAGTGAGTCACTGAAAACTGTCTTAGATTTCAGTAGCATAGTAATTCTCATAGTGCGGGTATTGTAATTGTGTAGAAAAGAATAAATTTTCAGATGTATATTTACGATTACTTTTATTTAAGTGCTAACTTTGTTGAATCTACATGATCCCTTTTTGGAACTTTTTAGGTACTAAATCAGAAGTACTGAATATAGATAACCCAGACTTGGCTAAATATCCACTTTTTTCCAAGGCTAGAAGATATGAATGTTCCCTTGAAGCTGGTGATGTATTATTCATTCCTGGTAAGATTTCTAGACCTCAGTAATGTGCTATTTATAAAATATATACTCTGTCACTCATCCTTCATGTGATTTTTTTTTTTTAGTACAAACATATATTTGTTATATGTATCCTGTCCTATACAAGATGATTTTTATACAAAACTCTGTGTGTGTGTGTGCGTGTGTGCGTGTGCGCGCGCGTGCGCGCACTTAAAGCAGGCCTAGGCAAACTTATTATAAGTTAACAGTCCTAGCACTTTGGGAGGCTGAGGTGGGAGGATTGCTTGAGGCCAAAAGTGCAAGACCAGCATGGGCAACATAGTGAGACCCTGTCTCTATAAAAATAAATAAATACATTTAGTCAGGTATGGTAGTGTGCATCTGTAAGTCCCAGCTACTTGGGAGGCTGAGGCAGAAGAATCTCTTGGGCCCAGCAGATTGAGGTTGAGGAGGCTGATGCAATGGCATCATGAAACCACTGTACTCCAGCCTGAGCAACAGAGCAACACTGTCTCTAAATAAATTAAATTAACAGTCTTGCTTTCAAGGGCAACCTGTAAAAATAATATTATACTCTAAACTATTTTACTAAATGACATCAGGCAAGGCACTTTTTTTTAATGTTTTTTTGTTTGTTTGTTTGTTTAATTTTCCAAGTAAGATACTTTATATCTGGGAAAAGATTATACTGGTTGGTTTTTTAAATTATGTTTTAAAAATAATATTGTCCTCTATTTTATTAAATGACATCAAGTGAGATACTTTATATGTGGGAAAAGATTATATTGATTGGTTTTATAAATTATTTTTAAAATATTCATGTATTTTAGAATTTTGCCACTTAAATATTTATCAAAAAAAGATAAATATTTTTCATGGCCAAAACAGATGAAAGATTTCATTAAGTATTAACATTTTATAATCTCAACACGTATGGTATCATTTGTGTACATTATTTTTCTATACAGTCTGGATTTGTGTCACTTAATTTCTTTGTTCAATTAATAGGCATTAGTTTGAAAGTACATAAAGTTTTAATGTTGTTAGTCACCACAGCAAGGTAATTACATCTATAATTAATACTTAAAAATGAACTCTTGAAGATTATAAAAATCATAATTAAAATTAAAGGGATGTATTAACAAATTCTATTCATAGTTGTAGTTCCGTATCTAAATATATTAAGAATCATTAATACTTGTTTTCATTGATAAAAATAAGTAAATATTAATAAAGATAGATATTTGATTATTTCATTTGGGACTAGATGATAAATTCCTTGAAGACAAAGAACCATGTTTTGTTCATCTTTGTCTTCTCCCAAAGAGCCTGATATAATGTCTTTCATATAATTGATCATCTATAAAAATTTGATTGACTTTTTAATTCTTATTTTCATTGAAAACAACCAACATATTAGTCTTCAAATCCATTGCCATCTTTTAAATTTAAATTTTTTTTTTTTTTTTTGTATTTTGGGAACATGATTAAGGTCTGTGTGGTTTTCCTTTATTCTACATGCAGTTTTATGAAAAAAGAAAGAAATACTGAATATTTGCATATATTTTTAAACAAAAGCAAAATTCCTATCTTTGGGTTTAAATTCAACAGAAGGCTTAGCAGTTTCTTCCTATTATATTAAATAAGGGAGAAAAGATTCTGAAAGAAAGTGTAGTTAAGATTAAAGCCATGTTTGAAAATTAGTTTTCCAAATCAAAATATGTTAAGCTTTTGTTTTTCCTTAAACACTCTTAGAATAAGTTTCTAAAATTTAATCTCCCTTTCACAGGATTAAAAGGGTTTTTTAATGTGATTAGTGTAGGTATATAATATGATAAAAGTTTACTTATCATTTCTACCACCAAAATATTTGCTGTAGTTTTATATACTATTTATAAAGAAGCTGAAAGAAATATAAGATGATTATAATTGCATTTGAAATATAAAACTAAGGAGGCCATAATGAATACGAAATTAAGCAAGTTAGAAAACCAAATTGTAGCTTGAACAGGAAGTCTTCGGGGACAAAAGTATTGTAGTGAATCAGAAAAGGTCAAAGGTAACTCCTCAAGTAATTGAAATGTTCTGTGTACCAAAAAATAAACACTTTGATGTGGTTGCATGACTCAGGAAGTATAAACAAGTAACACAAAACACAGCCCTAGATTAGAGAACTGCAAAACAAATATATCTTTATTATGTCTTTCAAGTTTAAAGGAAAAATTGCTATTTCTAAAGGTTTTAAAAGTAAGGGTTGTGCTATTGACACTTTAAATTTGTTGGCAATTCATAAAAGTTAAAATGATTCTGTTAAAAGCCTGGAGTGTGCTAACGAAGGGATCTGGTTACAAGAATTATTTCTTACATTGGCTATATGCAATTCGTGATATTTCACTGACATTTTGGGTTTTTTTTTAACTGTAGGTTTTATTTTTAACTTGTTTTTTAAACTTTCTCCAGCTTTGTGGTTCCATAATGTAATTTCTGAAGAGTTTGGAGTGGGAGTGAACATCTTTTGGAAGCACCTTCCATCTGAATGCTATGATAAAACAGATACCTATGGCAACAAAGATCCTAAAGCAGCATCAAGAGCTGCACAAATTTTGGACAGAGCCTTGAAAACACTGGCCGAATTACCAGAGGAATATAGGGACTTCTATGCACGACGAATGGTCATACACATTCAAGACAAAGCCTACAGCAAGAACTCTGAATAGATAATTAAGTGAATGCAATGCACATAAACATTTTAATAACATTTAGGTCAAATACTTTAAAGGTATAATGATATAAATTAATCTTTAAACATTTTGTTAAAATAGGAAAGATAAATCAGATTTAACAGATTATATAAGTAGGAAGGGGTGTTTGTGTGGATTCTACTTGATGCAGATTGTTATAATTAAAGAATGCTGTGCTGACACCACTCTTTAACATTCAGATGCTGACCACTAAAAGTCCAACTGAAAATGACTTAAACAATAAGAAAATATATTGAATCACAATAAGTGAAATTTATAGATAGAATGGGCTGCAGTGTTTCTGATCCAGTGATTCTGTAATATCATCAAGAACCTTGGGAGACCGCCTCCGCACCCCACCCCCTTTTCACCCACAACATTGGCATCATCCTAAGGCTGGCTACCCTCGTGGTCATGGGATGATTGCCAGTAGCAGTTGGAGCCTTCCGCATCTTCATTTACATGCAGTGGAAGAGTTAGGCTGGATTCTAGGGGCCTCGTCCTAATATGAGAAAGCTTTCCCAGAATTCACTTTCCATATCCTAAGGTCTCATTGCTCTAAAATAACTTAGTCCTGTCTATCCTTGAGCCAGTCACTGGCAAAGGGTCTGGAATAACACTTAGGGCAGTAAGGTCTACTGGAGCTGAGAGTAGAAGTGGAGGCCTCATGAGGGGTATATGGGGACAGAATGGATAAGTTTTTAAAATCACGGTTCTGATAGGAAAACCATGAGTAACTAATAGTATCTATTACATTTGCCTAGAAACAGAATTTTATAAGGAACTTTAAAAACTACAGATACCTAGGTCCCAACTTTGTAGACTGATTGAGAATGTTTGGGATTTGGTATAGGAACTTAATGGACCTCACAGGGTGTTTCCATACATAATCAGCTGAGATCAACTGGACTTGATGATAGTGACTTGGATTATTAGTTTTGTAATTAGTCCAAAACAAATGTTTAATCTGATCCTGACGTTTTTTGCCACCCAGTTTGTCAGGTCTTTTTTTTTTTGGTTTTTGAATGTTAGAAAACATTTACTTAAAGAATGAATAAATGAGATCCTAATAGTGTTGTCATTGAAGACAGTGAGCCATTGTGTGTGGATCTCTGCTATTCTTTGTTCTGTACCTAGTAATTATATTGCAGTGTCATTGAAGAGCAGATAATCTTTGCTGAACATAAATGTGCCCATGTAAAGCAATCTCTTAGTACATCAATTTGGTGCATTTTAATTAGAGAAAATAATTTTCTCTATTGAAGAGAATCCATCCACTTATGCCCTATAAATTATAGTAAATAAGAAAGGAGAAGCATATAAAACATTCTGAGTTTTCTAAGTGTCTTTGGAAACAGATAAGTTACTCAGGTCAACAAAGCTGAAAAGAGTCTTGTCAGAAATGGAATGATTATATTAGCCAAATTTAATTATCAGATTTTGATCTTCATTACCTTAGGCTAAGCAAAGAACTTCTTTAGTGATTCCTTGTCCTTCAGTAAGAAAAAAGACAAAACTCCTCTTAGTGTACACAGTATTTATGGTCAGTTTTTAATCCTTTTTTTTCTTAGCAATTGAACTGATAGAGACTATAAATCTAGAGTCATGTAGAAAACTTGGAAGTATTAATAAAACAGATTACAGTTGTGCAATGAACATTCATCTTAATTGTTTAATGGAGAAGCAAACTGGATGGTCTTAGACAAAATAACATTTATCTGTGAAGCTTATTTTCCTCATATTTAAAACAGAACTACCAAAATGCAGAAAGATAGTTCAAGGGCAGGCACATAGTTGATGACTTATGCTAGTTTTTCTATTTAATTATATTCTTTTTTTGCTGAGAGATTTGAGGTAGCTTCTGTTGCAGTATTTATAATATTTACAAAGTTAGAGAACTTTCCTTTGGGATGTTTTAAAATTACTTCCCTGGTCATAGTTTTTATTATTAGGGTCTGTTTATTTCAACTACAAAATATTTTAATCTTTTTTTCCTACTGGGTTAAGACCAAATGAGATATTTGTTTTTAATGTGTAAATATTACACAGTATATGTTAGCTGGAACTTCTCAGGAGTTCTGAATCTTAGTTTTTACTGAACGAGATTTTAGAAGCCATCTAACGAACCCAGATTGCTTAATGATTGTCTGGGCTCACATAGCTATGGGTGATAGAAACTGAGATTACAGTTGTGATCAGTAATTCTCCATTCTTTCTCCCTGATGTGCAGCACATCTCCAGCACTTCCAAATAGATTACACAGCTTTTCTTTGGCTAGTTTGGGGGCTTGACCTGATGCAAAAAGGAATTTTTTTCCTCTGCCCACAAAATTTCTCACTGCTCTGCTTGCTACACAGATAAGATTCAAAATAAAATTAACGATGAGCCGAGTGCAGTGGCTCACACCTATAATCAATCCCAGCACTTTGGGAGGCCGAGGCGGGCGGATCACAAGATCAGGAGATTGAGACCATCCTGGCCAACATGGTGAAACCTGTCTCCATTAAAAATAATACAAAAATTAGCTGGGTGTGGTGGCGCATGCCTGTAATCCCAGCTACTTGGAAGGCTGAGGGAGGTGAATCAGTTGAACCAGGAAGTTGGGGGTTGCCTGGTGATGGAGGGAGACTCCATCTAAAAAAGAAAAGTAATGATGAATTGCATTACACCAGAATGTAATACAATAAAAGAAATGAAATATTATGCAAAGAATGAGGAAGAGGTATATGCACAGGCATGGAATTTTTCCAGTATAGTTACATGAAAAAAATGAACTGTACTGCCACTTGCGTAATAAGGTATGTGGTGTGTGAACATCTTATTTGCATATGCATATAATTATTTCTAAGGATGCAAGAGAAACTAGTGATAATGATGCCTTCAAGAAGAGGTTCAACTATGTGGGAATCTGCAGTTTTATATTATTTGAACTTTTGTTCACATTACCCTTTCAAAATGCATTTTAAAAATACTATATGCACTGAGATGGGTGGATCATCTGAACTCAGGAGTTCAAGACCAGACTGGGCAACCTAGCAAAACCCTGTCTCTACCAAAAATACAAAAAAATTAGCGGGGTGTGGTGGTACACACCAATAGTCCCAGCTACTCAGGAAGCTGATAGGAAGATCACTTGAGCCTGAGAGGTGCAGGTTGTAGTGAGCTGGAATTGTGCCACTGCACTCCAGTCTGGGTGATAGTGAGACCCTATCTCAAAAAAAAAAAAAAAAAAAAAGTACTATATGCAGAGCTGGGAGTGGTGGTACACACTTGTAGTACCAGCTACTTGGGAGGCTGAGGCAGGAGGAGTGCTTGAAGTCTTGAAGCCAGGAGTTCAAGTTCAGCCCGGGCAACATGGGAGACCCATCTCAAATTTAAAAACACTGCAGAGTGTAATTATTAGCATTTCGTAACATGTTTGTCTTAGTATTTGGATGCAAATTAGAATTCTATTTGTTCAGTAATTAATTTCTAACTCACTTTGCTGAAATATGAAAACAAAGGAAACAAAGTCAACAAAACTTAATTTGTATCCTTCATCCTTTTGAACAGCAGCTATGTGAACATTTGGAAAGAACCTTAGTAAGGCGGCTTTTCTATCACCTATAAAAAGTTGCCAACAGACATCAAAGGAGTTGTTGACAAAAAAAAAAAAAAAAAAAATGCAGGAAGCTGGAAGGCAGGCCTGGATGGAATTGGAACTGTGCTGCTGTGACTCCTTTCCCCAGTGCTAAAAAATAGATGTAGTCAGGAGGAACTAACATAGATTGGCAGTCACCCACACATCTCTGGTGTTACCTTAGTCTTGTTTCAAGCATACAAGCCACAAGTTTTTAGGTGTCTTAAATATACCGAAGTTGTAGTCTCTTTTTAAGTTCCATTAAGCAGGATACTAAAATGACCTTTTCTGGTGACTCTGCCTGTCTCCACCACTAACTAGTTTAACAGCTGCTGGATCTCTGCCTTTGTAAAGAGGAACATGAGTCTACAGATGAGGTCTATCTATATCTTTTCTAATGTTTGTTTCTCTTAAAGGCCTTTAAGTAAAATAAAATAAGCTCTTTTATGAATACTACTTTTGTATTTTACCTCATAAGTTTAATGTATTAAACATTTCTATACCAGCATGCTGGGACTTTGTATTGTTTGTCCTACATCCTCATTGCCTAGACCCTCCTTGACCTTGGTGGTTGCTTAGATAGTACATGAATGAAAAGAAAAATAGATTACACCATATCCTGACCAAGTCTTGTAAGGAGCTAAAGGACTATAGATCCCTGAGAATTAGCACAGAAAAGGGGAAAAAGATGAACTTGTTAGAGATTTTGTTCTCTATGAAAGCCAGCAGAAGTGGATATAATGCAAATGTTTATGGAGCAATTTAAAAGGGAGAAGATATGTATTTTCACAGAAAAGGTTCAAAGTTGCTCATTTGAAAAAACATGGAGGATAATGAAAAAATGTACAGTAAGTCCTCAACATCCTGTAACTTTAAACAAAAGGACAAACAGCAGGTCCTCAACATTTTTTTCATTGTCACTTAGTTAAAAAACAATGATGAGGGAAAAAAAAAGGTTTTGTTATATTGGTTTGCTTCAAATCCCAGTTTCCAAGAACCTACTGACATGTTAAGTGACGACTTACTGTATACAAACCCAAACTAGCAGTATGGAGAGAAATGGCTTCCTTTTAAAAAATCTGAAGTTTTAACAATGCTAATAATATAAAGCACATCCAAACAAACTTCTGTGGATGATCAACTTTAATACAATTATACATTCATGCTGTGGTGGTAACAACTTTCACATTTGTAGGACTACTTTTCTCAACTCATGACAAAGGCACAATCCAAAAGTATACATTAACATTACAGTAACAGTTTGAAACAAATGTGGACAAAGGACCAATAGAAAGTATTAAACAGAAAACATCTGAATATCGATCAACTTGAATATATTTTCATTCCAGAAAATATTTTTTTTCTTTTCAACATTGTCTCATTTTGCTATGATGGCAGTTTTAGGTGCCTGGTGAGTTACTCTTAATATCCATTCAACATGTAAAAATTATAATTAAGCATTCAAATACTGGATAGCCAAAGAACCCATATTTTTAAACATGTCTGATTTTTAAAAATTTTATTTAAATTATTTTTAAATGAATTCTGCTAAATGTCTTACTTTTCCATTTCAGTTAATAGTGAAAATAAATGCTTTTTCTTCCTCTCAGAGAATTCAGTACCTCAGCTATTTTACTTTAGATTCATGTGAATTTAACCACGGATTATTAAAGAGATAGAAAAAAAAAAAACTATCCTATCAGTGCTTAAAGGCAATGTAACATGTTAAATGTTAAAATCAGGCTGATTCATTTCCTTGATGGGAATTTTTGGTCTCAAAAGAAACAGCAGGTATTTAAAGAAACTGAAGCAACATAAAACAACTTTGTCTTAAAACCATTTAGAGCTGCTGTTCTGTGGTTTATAAAATTAAGTGTTAAAACACCAAAAAGCAATTTTTTGTTGTTTTAGTTTTTTTTTTTTTTTTTAGACAGAGTCTCACTCCGTCACCAGGCACCAGGCTGGAGTGCACTGGTGCGACCTCGGCTCACTGCAACTTATGCCTCCCGGGTTCAAGCAATTCTCCTACCTCAGCCTCCTGAGTAGCTGGGACTACAGGCGCGCGCCACCACGCCCAGCTAATTTTTTTGTATTTTTAGTAGAGACGGGGTTAAACCATGTTGGCCAGGATGGTCTCGATCTCTTGACCTCGTGATCCACCTGCCTCGGCCTCCCAAAGTGCTGGGATTACAGGCGTGAGCCACCAAGCCTAGCCAGCAATGTTATTTTTAAGCATTTGTTAAGTAAGAATCCTTTCTGATGAGTCTCTGAGTATTTGGAATGTATTTACAGAGTCACTAAAATATAATTCTGGGAAGAAACCAAGAAATTAACATTTTTATTCTATATGGCTTTATAAATCTAGGTCTTCTGGGTCATTAAGGTATTAAGCTTCAGTGTCTTTTTTTTTTTTTTAAGTCCTAAAGCAGCAGGTTACTTTCCTGCTTAGCCATTTCATGTCCTGCAAAAGCTAATTATTAATAAACAACAAACTGTTCACCTTTTATTGTAATTACCCAATTACAATGTCAATGTTGGTTGACATTAATTAGATCTTGATTTCTCAAAGTGTATTTATCTAGGTCAAGAAAAACGGGCAGAAGGAAACTTCACCCAAATTATGTAGCAGTGTTAAGCAAATTCAGTTTTTGAGCCAAAATTAAATCATTTGTGTCTTCAAACTTTCCCTTGTAACTTTTCTTATAGCAATGTAATTTTGCATTTTGGCCAAAGAGAGCTATTTTCTTTTGGCAGACAAAATCATGCTTCTGGAGAAACATTGACTTAGATCTATGGAATCTGTTTCCTTTTTAATAGAGCTCTAACAAATAGAACATTATATATTTATTTTTTCCAAGTTGATCCCAAAAAGACTGATATAATGAAAAATTTGAAATTTGCTCTGTAGTACATTTTTATTCAATATACATAAATATGCTCAACTTAAAGCAATTTTCCAAAACAACTAGGTTTTGGCCAAGATTCAAGAAACCCCAGAATGTCTTATCCAAAATAATAAAAAACCGTCAATTAAAAATTAAACAATAGTGCTTAAGTGTAATTTTGTTTTGTTTTAGAGATGAAGTCTCACTATGTTGCCCAGGTTGGAGTGCAGTAGCTAGTCACAAACACAATCATGGTGAACCACAGCCTGGGCTCAAGCAATCCTCCTGCCTTAGCCTCCTGAGTAGCTGGAACTAAAGGCACGTACCACCACCGGGCCATGTTTTTTAAAACCACCTTTACACTATTGTATACTCTTGGACATTTGGAAACAAATATATGTTGATTCTCATGAGAAAAGTACTTGGTGACACATGAAAGAATAAGTCAATGAGTTTGCAAAACAAAAGAGGCAGGGTGCAGTTATTCCAAAATGATAGAAAACAGCATCATACCTTTGCTTTTGTTAGAAGAGAAATGAAAATATTTCCACTCACGTTTTAAGTGCCAAAATAGCTAATTACTGTTAAAATGTCACCAAATTAGTTTAAAACATTACTCAGAAAATCAGCTATTTCCAACAATAACAATTTTAGTTACCTTTTATAAGAACTATGTTGTAACTTTCATTTTATATATATATATATGTATATATATATACATATATATATATGTGTTTTATTGCACTTTAGGGTAACTTTCATTTTTTAAGGGTCTTATATCTCCTCAGGATTATTACAAACCACCTTGTTAAATTTCAAATTAATTCTAACCCAATCCAAATTTTTACTGTTCACATTCACAAGCAAAAAATACTACTGCACATTACACTCATATTTTAGGAATGTGTGCTTCCCCCCCATACCCCAAAACTGACAATGCAGCCATGAATTACATCCCATTATCTGAATTTATAACACTCAAAATGCTTATGTTCTTCCACTCAACAAGTTCATTAATATACGTGTAATCTCAAAATACTTCATGAACCCTGAAGTGATTCTCTATGGAAGGAGCTTCCTTTGTAAAGTGAATTTGGCTAGTCACCTGCATACCAAAATCCCCAAGTATCTGAACAAATTTCTTGTGCTCCTTTCCAATCCAAGATCTCATTGGATCATG